ATCGATCATGGGGCAGAGGAGGTGGAGCCGCAAGCCTAGACGGGCAGGCACCTACCTCGGCGAGTATAGATAAATACAAGCTACGCGATGCCCCCCACACATACTCCCTCTATTTTTTGCCTCCGCCTGCCGCATCCGCCACCGTTTCGCTCCTCCTCCTCCTCCTCCTCCCTCAGGTACGGCCACGGTCCACCCTCCTTCTCCTCCTAACCTTCTCTACCAAATGAAATGACGCCCTCTCCTCTCCCTGGAAGGTTGCAAGAAAGGAAGGATCGATTGTCTTCTTCCTACGCAGCGCTTCCCTACTCCCTTTACTTTGCGTGAAACAATAGGAATTTCTTCGAATTGCGTATGTATTGTTATTATTTCCATATAAGTGGGAGTAGGAATTTATTTACGCGTCCTTCTCGTGATCTTGTCTTCTTCTTTATTTGCTTTGCCTTTCCGTACGCGACTATCTATCTACTTATTTACTACCTCTTCTATAATTAGATGTAAGACGTTTTAACAGTTCAAAGAGATAATAGCATACAGGGGAATATCAAGAAGACACTTTTGCTCTATTTGCTAATTAAGAAGAAGATAATTATCAAATTAATTAGCAGAAAATCAGGTGAAACCAGTACATCACACCGACAAAACACATGGCACCCAACCGATCTGGCTACCCGCAAAGACCCACATATCACTGAAGAGAGAAACTCCGTCGAGGTTACTAGCAACTGACACCATAGTCACTTCTCCCCGATCAAGTAACTCTTGCTTCACCACAATGACCAACCAAGAGTCTTCATTGTGATTCACTTGCAACTCCGACTTCACAACCACAGAACAAGCAAACACAAAGACGAACCCAGGGAAACGACATGCGGGTGACAAAGTAGAACATGTCATGACCCCATCTCTTCTTGTAAACATCATCATTGCCACATGAGCCGCAACACCAACCACTCGCATCACTAGTCGGGCACCCGCCAACTATGACGCAGTGCATGTCTAGCTTCAGGAAAATATGACCGAAGGGGACCAATTCTTCAAGACGATGTCTCAAGGAGGGAAGCCACACGGGAATAACGCCGTTTCCCGACTCTGCACCATGGCCTTAGGCTTTCACCTGAGGGAGGGAAGCCCCTCTCAAGTACTTTCTTGGCCCATCGTGTGTCTTACGGTCCAGAAAAAATCACCAAAAAGTTTCGCTGCGTTTGGACTCCGTTTGGTATTGATTTTCTGCAAAGTAAAAAACAAGCAAAAACAGCAACTGGCACTTGGCACTATGTCAATAGGTTAGTCCCAAAAATGATATAAAGTTGCTATAAAATTATTGTAACATATCCAAGAATGATAACATAACAGCATGGAACAATCAAAAATTATAGATACCTTGGAGACGTATCACCTGGGTCTTCGTCCTTTGAAGGAGAAGCTGACCAATTCACCCCTAGTGAGATACATGTGGGCGATGAAACGATCCCAACCATCTCCTCTTGTCTAGGACACCTTTCGTCCCTTTTGGACCTCCAAAGTGTAGGGGTCCCCAGGAGCCTCGAAGATCACAGTGTCTCCAGTCAGCTCATTGAATTTCAGCCTCACATTGCCTGAGACGATATGTGTAAGGAAAAAACACACAATGCATTAGTGATAATAATAGCAATAAAAACAAAAGAAATAACAGTTAGAAGGTTTATATAACTTGTTAACGCTGCAGGAACAAAACTCGGTTGGAAATAGATACCCAACAACAACATGCCAGTTGCAAGGCTGCTGGCGCACCTTGACTTGCATAGTCGACATGGTGGTGATAACGCCATTTTCCTATTAGTGACGACAATTAATGGCTAAGTAGACTACTAAATTTGTACACTAAATCACTATCAAAATCGGATTGTACACATAATCATTCCATGGATTCTACACACTACTAAACTTCTATTGAGTATGGATTCTACACTAAAAGAAATTTCACTACTAAAATTCTACACTAAAACGATGATTTTGTGTTGACTTGCAAAGTTCGCATGGTGGTGATGGTGGCACCATTCTACAAAAGCATTCATCACAAAAGCATTAATTCATCGGATTCTACTACTAAATCAACACAAAAGACTAGCATCCGGTTCTACACTAAAACATATACAACACTACAAAAAATTCAACCCTAAGTACAAAATCTGTTTCTATACTAATAAATAAAATTATATAGGATTAAACACTAAGTACAGAATAAAATTATACTATAACTAACCTAAGTACGAAATTGGTTCATGGACGTCCATGGATTCAACCCTAGGTACCAAATCAAATTATAATCCTACTAATCTAATTCTAGCAATCAAAATTCAACCCTAAGTACAAAATTGGTTCATGGACGTCCATAGATTCAACCCTAAGTACAAAATCAAATTATACTACTACTAATCTAATTCTACACGGACATCATGGGTTCCAATCGAATTATAATACGGCGGTAGTGAGCGGC